AGCTCTTAGGTCCCATTTTCTTCCTTCCTTTCTTTTTTTAAAAAGCACAATGAATTTTATTTCTTTTCAATAAACATGTTAGATTCCACACATGCCACAGTTATCAATACATCCACGGAATGTGAGAACAGAGATAGAAAAGAGCTTCATAGTGGACAGGGCGCTCTCAGGTGGGAAAGTCTCCCGAACATTCTGGGAGGGGCGGGAAAGCTATTCCATGTTTCTCCTAGTCAAGTACCTGGAGGTAAAGGGGCTTTACATGTTGTCTATGACAGAAGACATGCAAAGCACTGTGCGATAACATGCATGGGACTAATCCCAACACGTTCTGGGAAACAGTAAATAATGTGCAGTTTCCTTCATGTCTTCTGTCCTGTTTTCTAAAGCCTCTTGTGATACAGGATGTGAGGAGTCTCTGACAGCAGTCAACCATTCTGACGTTGCCCTTCACCCTTTGTTTCAGGTTCCTTTAAAACTCTTGAAATGAAGGCATCGAAACCCGGCTGGTGGCTCCTCGACACAGAGGTTGGAGAGAATCAGAGGGCAGGGATGCAAACGCCGTTCCTCATCATAGACAGAGGTATCACCCAAGAACTTTTATCTGCAGAATACCTGTGATGGGAACATGCATATTTGCCAACTTTTAGGTTGGAAGTAGTCAGCTCTGTACTTCGATGTGATGGACACATAATCTGTAATCATAATGGCTTTATTCTGGCCCATGGTCTCATTGCACTACAAATACAAATTGTCTGGCAAACTTAAGCGGTCAGCCCACTAAAAATACTGTGTTTCCTGATTTCTGATCCATAGTGCAGTGAGCCAAGAAGGAAATGAAAGTAAATGTGTGCAAAGCCATTGTTTTTAGTAAATAAGCAATGTTTCCCATTGAGGAGACCACACGTTTTCAGTACTTACACCGTAATCTGAATGAGGAGAGATAGCTTCAGAGTTCATCCCACACCAGGCTTCCTCTGGCTTCCATCCTAGGGTGAGCTGACAAATCTGTCATAGACTGAAGGGCCTTATGTGCTCGGATGCACAGGAATGAGGGAACGGCGAACGTGGGATGCGTGTCTTGACGCCGTCTGGGCTCAGAGAGTGTGATGGACTTGTGGTCATTATCCTCAGCTTTGAAGGTGTCAGAGGAAGAACGCTCTTTCCCTTTCTGAGAACTAAGATGAGCTCTTGTCACATGCAATTACATAGCTAATCATGTACCTTACCACTAAGATTCGATGGTGGGAGGACTAATTCTCCAAGGGCACACCCTTTCAGTAAGATGCCGATGCAAAAGCCATGCAGGTAGTAGGAGATGAAACTGCTTTCTATTGCCTGTGCCTAAGGGAAGTCTGTGTAAGAATTCTCCAGGTTCCTAGAGTACAGAGAGGAAAGACAACAGAAATTCATCAATCACTGAAATGGTCACTTAACTTCTGTTAACATCTGAATAGCTGGGAGATACAGTGCCATCCATTCCCATCCATCCCCCCATTCTTCCATTCTTTAAGCATTCACGAAGCACCTATTGAGTGTCAAGCAGGTGCCAATATCCAGGAAGCACAGTGTCTGCTATTCCTTGCCCTGAACAAGATGTAAACAGCCTTGCCACTTGCAAGTGAGCATTTGAGAACACAATCTTCTGAGGGATAGAATTTCATGCTATAAAAATACCTTTTCTATGACGTGCACAGATTGAAATCAGTTTAAGAGCTGATCACTTTTCCTCCATGTGCTAGTCTGGTTAGACTATAGTAACGAACTCATAGACATTCACATATGTAAAAAAGAGCTTTATATACAAGAGCAGTTGAATATTGAGAAAACATCCTAGCCCACTCCAGATCAAGTCCATAAGTCCAATATTAGCTCATATATCTGACACCAATCTATAAAGTCCTCTTCAGACTCACGAAACACATGCAATGACACTGGATGCAGGAAGGTCACATGCCAGTGGGTGGGAAGTCTTGTGGATCCAGTGGTGTTGTAAGCATCTCAGCACTTGCAGAGGTCTCCAGTGGCTTCTCCAGGTCCAGGCTCTGGCTCCATCAAGGTAGGTCCATGTGGCTTCTCCTCAGGGATGTCCTGCAGGGAGTGAACCAAGAGAGAGTGTGTCTTCCGCCTCTAAGGAGGAAAATACAGGAGTTCCCAGAATTCTCAGGAGAAGGCCATGCCCACACAGAGACCTCATTGGCTATCACCTGATTGACAGGCTAGACTCCACCCCTTCACTTTTAGTCCTCAAATTGACACCAGATTATATAACTACCACACTCCACTTACATGGACAATCTAGGATAGGCAAATGCAAAGATCCAAAAAGTAGATTAGTGGCTCCCAGTGGCTGGAGGAAAAATCTAATTACTGCTTAAGGGGCTCTAAAAATGTTTTGAAAATAAATATGTAGCAGTGATGTGCGTACAGGAAGAATAATCAATTCCATTCCAGGATATCAGTTGTCTTTCTGTAAAGTGTCACCATTTTTATTAAAGAACCAATCTTGCTAGTGTATTTGCTATTTTATGATCAGACATATTTAAGCTTGTGAATAAGAAGTAGGTGAAAATATTTCATCACTGACCCATCAGAGAGATGAAACATCTAGCCATGACTTTTCTAACCAAAATATCTTCGTGCTTTATTTGTTCTTAGAATGTAAAATGCCAATGGGACTAAGCACTGGTATCATATCTGATTCACAGATCAAGGCTTCTGAGCATCTAGGTAAGTACTAGCATCTCAGCCATGGTAATGCTGCCTGTGGAAGCTACAGGTCAGTCCATCACTCCAGCTCCCCTCCACCACAATGTAGCAAAGCAGCTCAATTTGGGGTGCTTATCTTGAAAGGAAAGAGCATACACTGAAAAGTCTGTTGGCAGCCCTTCATCACTGCCACCCTCTCTAGTGTGCATTGTTCCCAAAGAGCATCTTCCAGGGAAAACCCAGAGCTAGGTGCCTACAGGCAGCCTGATTCCCATGTGCCCATTTCCAAAATGTTCCGCAGTCATTCCATCTAAATTCACAGGGTCTTAGCCACGAAGTATTTTAATCCCATTTTATAGGGTCCTCTGCCTGTGCTGTGACAAGGAGCCCTGGTGGTGTAGTAGTTACAGATTAGGCTGCCAACCTCAAGGTCAGCAGTTCGAACCCACCAGCCAGCTCCACAGGACAAAGACAAAGCTTTCTACTCCCATAAAGAGTTACAGTCTCAGAAACCCACAGGGGCAGTTCTACTCTGTACTACAGTGATACCTCTATTGTCTAACTCAATTAGCTCCTAATTTGTGTTAGAACACTTTACAGTTTGAGAATTAAACATATTTTTCCCATAAAAAGACCAAATAATTGGTTCTGAGGCCCCAAAATTACACTTACAAATCACTCTGGAGACTTTTCGCCTTCTCTCATATTACTGTCTCAGATACGCTATGGCTATTGAGTTGCTTCTGATTTATCCAAATTAACAGTAACTTTTCAACCTCTTCTAGGTCTGCATTTTTTGTTTCATGGTTAACAATGAATTGCTACCTTAACTTCCTTGATCATATTTTTTTCTTCAAAAAGGTTGATAATGTTGACTTAGCCATGTTGTATTTGGCCGCCAAATCAGACAAGTGGCCACCTGATTCAAATTTTGCAATGACTTCTTCCTTTAATCCTTACCATGATTCTCACAGTTTCCCTCTTAGTTTTACTGCAGATCACTAACTTTCTTTAGAGCCATGGTTATGATGTTTTATGCAAATAAAACACCAGGACGAATGTTTTAACACATTCACACAAGCACTCTACTTTGAATGTCCGTGATGCAATGTGCGACTCACTCTCAGCCCATACACCGGTTTCCAAGTTAGGTTTGCAGTTCGACTATCCAGCTAAGTTACAAACCCCCAGCAGAATTTTTTTTGAACTTTTCTGCCCGAGTAGTGGAAAGTTTGAACATGAAGCCATTTCACAACTGAGGTCTCACTGTATAGGGTTGCTATGAGTCAGAAGTGACTCAGTGGCCATGAGTTTGGAGTTTGGAGTCTACCTGTGCCAACTATTGCTCTAGTTCGGAAATTTTGTTGACTACTGACGATGTGTCAGGAACTCCTCCCACGTCTCTCACTCTGCGGCCATATCAGCAGTACAGAAAAAGGCAAACATGCCCTGTGTGCAGGGAAGGAGGCAGATGGTGGGTGACAGCTGATCAAGCACAGACACGAAGCTACAATTTCATCACTCAGGATGGAATTAGTAAGCAGGGCCCCAGTCACCTGCCGGATCTTAACTGTAGTTCAAGGTCTTTCAGGGATCTGGTTTTCCACTGGGACTAAACTCACTTCAGAAGTTGCTAGTTGTATTTTAAATAATTCACAATAAATGTGTTTTCTTCCTTTGAATTTAGGCTATTGGGAGCCCCGATTAGCAAGATTAAACCATGGTGGATCATATAATGCGTGGAGCATAGAAAAACTTTCAAGAGAACCTGGCTCTAGTCCCTGGATCCAGGTGTGCCTTATTAACCAGATGTCTGCTGCTATTGTAATCGTAACAATGACAATGATTGTCATAATCTAGTGCTATACCTGTTGCAATGTTGTTAGTTCAGATGGCAATTACTAGGTGCTAGGCATTATTCTGGAGCTCCCTGGGTGGTGCAAATGATTGATGTGCTTAGTTGTTAACCTAAAGGTTGAAATTTGGAGTCCTCCCAGAGGCACGTGGGAAGAAATGGCTGGCGATCTACCTAAAAACCAAACCAAACAAACCATCCATAGGAAACCCTGTGGATCCCAGTTCTACTGACACTCATGGGGTCACCACGAGTTAAAGTCAGCTTGATGCAAATTGGTATTATTTTCTGTACTTTGCTTCAAAGCCTGAAAATCACCCCTCTGAGATTGTAGCTAGGAATATCCCACTTTACAGGTTAAAAAAAGAAAGAACTGAGACACACAAGGTTAATTGACTTCCCAGTTACACACTCCTAGTTAGTGGGAGAACTGAGTACTCCGTGCTTCAATATACACTGTATTAGGCATTTTATTTGTTGGGGAAGATCCTAGGTGCTGACCCTTCCATCCTAAAGAAAACTGACCGTATAATGAATATAAGCAGTCTGTAGCTTTTGGACAAGGACAGTTCTGTTTAACAGCTTTGCTGTGTTGCAGGTGGACATGCAAAGGGAAGTCATGTTGACAGGGATCCAGACCCAAGGTGCCAAACACTACCTGAAGTCCTACTACACGACCGAGTTCTTTGTGGCCTACAGCTCTGACAGTACACACTGGCAAATCTTCAAAGGAAACAGCACGAAGAGTCTGATGGTCTGTATGATGTTTCTAACCCAATCTCACACTCACTCCAGGGTTCCTATCATTCTGTTTATGACGAGGTCTTTGTTTTTGTCTTGCCCTAGAAATAAAAATATACATACATAAATGAACACATTTCTGGATTTAGAAATGTGAGTCTAGGGTTCTCTGCCTGTGCCTGGTGGCATAGTAGTTGTGAATGGGGCTGCCAATTCGTGACATAATGTTTCTGTGCTGTAGGGAAAGACTGAATTCTGAATCTTCACAACCCAACACAACTTGAAAAGCCACTTAGCATCGAACAAAATACCCAACTTCTCAGATTGACAGACAGTGTCCAGCAGAGTGGGATACCTCGTCCTGTACCACAAGGAGCTCATCAGTTAAAAGTTGGCCATCAAGAATCTCACCTTAATGCACTTAATATTTAAATGTGTTCCCTATTTCATTATACTCAAAGGAAATGGTAGTGTTAATGCCCTAAAGAATGGTGGGTTTGGTGGGGAGAAAGGCAATTTGTTGTTGCTGTTCTTAGATCATGCCTGAGAAATGACATTCTCTGCTGGATCTTCTGTGAACTCAAGCAGGATTGTTCCTAATGACTGGGCTGTATTTGCCCCAACACTGCTCATTCAGTGCTAAACTTCCTCTCCTAAAAGGTGATCTAAAAGCAAAGGAACTAGTCTGCCATTGCTTTACTAATCCTCTTGAATCTGTATCCATTTCTTATTTTTTATGTTATCATTTATTATTTTCTAGAAATAAATGACTAGCTAGTAGTCAATTATTTGCAATAAATAATTACCTTAGAATTAACCTAACCCTACTGCTGTGGAGCCCATTTTGACTCATAGTGAACTTTTTCTATAGGCTTGCTGAGGCTACAAGTCTTTATGGGAACACAATGCCTCATCTTTCTCTTGAGGAGCAGCTGGTGGGCTTGAACTACAGACCTTGCAATTAGCAGTCCAACACGTACTCAACAGCACCCCCAAGACTCCTTATACGTTAGAACAGGTCACAAAATCATGAATCATGATTCTCTTTCATCAGTATTAGAAAGAGAACACAAATTGTAGTTGGAGTCCACAGATTCAAGATTTCTGCCTCTGCATTTATGAAGGAAACCGATGTGCTGTGCTGAGTTAGGTTTTCCTATCAGTGTTGTACTTCATAAGATGAATCAAGAAGCATTTGCTCCTATTTTCTGCAAGAGATTGTGTTGAATTGGTGTTCAATGATTTAATGTTGGTAGATACCACCAGTAAAATAACCTGGTCCTGCAGATTTTTGAGGGGAAGTATTTAAATTACAAATTCAATTTCTTTAATACTTACAGGACTTTTTAAATGATCCATTCCATATTAGGTGAGTTAGGGTGGCTTTTTAAATTTTAAACATTATATTGGGGCCTCATACAACTCTATCACAATCCATACATACATCCGTTGTGTCAAGCACATTTGTACATTTGTTGCCATCATCATTCTCAAACCATTTTCTTTCTATTTGAGCCCTTGGCATCAACTCCTCATTTTTTCCTCTCCCCCCCTCACCCTCCCTCCCTCATGAACCCTTGTAATTTATCAATTATTATTATAAATAATTTCTATTTATAAATTTTTTTCATGTATTACACTGACCGATGTCTCCCTTTACTCACTTTTCTATTGTCTGTCCCCCTGAAAGGGGGTTATAGGTAGATCATTGTGATCAGTTCTCCCTTTCTCTCCCCCACCTTCCCCTTACCCTCCTAGTATGAATACTCTCAATATTGGGTTATCTGTCCTGGATCTCCTGTGTTTCTAGCTCTTATCTGTACCCACGTACATGCTCTGCTCTCGCCAGATTTGTAAGGTAGAATCAGGGTCATGATAGTGGGGAAGAGGAAGTATTAAAGAACTGGAGGAAAGTTGCATGTTTCATCAGTGCGATACTGCACCCTGACTGCCTCATCTCCTGGAACCTTCTGTAAGGGGATGTCCAATTGTATATAGATGGACTTTGGGTCTCTACTCTGCACTCCCCCTCGTTCACATTGATATGATTTTTTGTTCTGTGTCTTTGATGCCTGATACCTGATCCCATCAACACCTCATGATCACATAGGCTGGTGTGCTTCTCCCATGTGGGCTTTGTTGCTTCTCAGCTAGATGGCCGCTTGTTTATCTTCAAGCCTTTAAGACCCAGACGCTATATCTTTTGATAGCCGGGCACCATCATCTTTGTTCTCCATATTTTCTTATGCACTCGCTTTGTCTTCAGTGATCATGTCAGGAAGGTGAGCATCATGGAATGCCAGGTTAATAGAACAAAGTGTTCTTGTATTGAGGGAGTACTTGAGTAGAGGCCCATTGTCCATCTGCGACCTTACTACTAAACTGTAAATATATGCACATAGATCTATTCCCCATCATCATATATAAGTATATTTACATATGTACATATCTGTATTTAGACCTCTACAAATGCCCTTTGCTTCCTAGTTCTTTCTTCTATTTCCTTTTACTTTCCTCTTGTCCCACTATCATGTTCAGCCTTCATTTGGGTTTCAGTAATTCCTCTCAGTTACATTGCCCTTAATCAAGCCCCACCAGGCCTCCTACACCCTCCTCGCCACTGATTTTGGATCACTTGTTGTTCCCTTGTCCCTGGGTTTGTTAACACCCACTTCCTTTCTCCCGCCTCCTCCTCTCTCACGTCCCCCAGAACGGCAGTCCATGTGTTCTTCTCCAGATTGTTTGTCCCCCCTATCTTATCTAGATAGACCTGCAGAGTTAATAATATGCATGAAAACAAGACAGAGCAAAACAAAGCAACAAAAGAAAACAACAACAAAAACAGCGACAAAAAAAGAAAGAAAAGTCTATAAATAGTTCAAGGTCTGTTTGTTGACCTTTACCAATGTTTTCCGATGGAGTCTGATAGGGTGCCATGCCCTGGCCCCATAGTCTATTTTTGGTACTCTTTGGGGACTTCATTGCTCTGTTCCCTTGGCTATTCTGTTGAATGCCCTTAGTGAAATTGCCTACAGGATCTGTGGATAACTTACATGTGTTTTTTGTCAATCTTACTCCTGGCTTGTTCACTTTGTAGTTTTTTTTGTTGTTGTTGTTTTCTTTTAAGCTTTTAAAATTTTATTTTCCTTATTGTTTTTCAATTTTACTGATTTCTGCCCTTAGTTTTCTTAATGCCCTTGTTCTACTTATTTAAGATTTATATTCCTTTTTATTTTCTAGACTCTTTAAGTAGGAAGTATGTTATTGATTTTAAACTTTTCTTCTTTGCTAATATATACATCTAATATCATAAATTTCCTTTTCAGCATTGATCCAGCTGTGCCCTACAAATACTGATATGTTGTACTTTAATTTTCATTCCATTCAATTGAGTCTTCTTAATGTGTATTTTATATATATCGAGGGGTTTTCATTGCACTGAGAAGGAAGAATAGCATATGCCATTTTCCCAACAATGGAAAAACCCCAGTTTCTTTTGTTAACTTTTTATTGTGATTTAAATGAACCCTTAATTATATTTTAAGACCAAACTGATCTGGTCTGGTCACATAAGAATTTAATACTATAATATTACAATTAAATTAATTTTTATTATAAAATCAGTTTAGAGAGGATTGTTCAATAACTAAATTTTTTATTCTCTTCTAGCTTTTTCATGGTAACTCGGATGCCTCTACCATAAAATACAACCAGTTTGACCCCCCGATTATGGCTAGATACATTAGGATCTCACCAACCAAGGCCTTTAATAGACCTACCCTCCGATTGGAGCTGCAAGGTTGTGAGGTTAATGGTAAGAAACAAAGATGAATTTTTTAAAATCATTTTATTAGGGGCTCATACAACTCTTATCACAATCCATACACACATTAATTGTGTAAAGCGCATTTGTACATTCATTGCCCTCATCATTCTCAAAACATTTCCTCTCCACTTAAGCCCCCGGCATTAGGTCCTCATTTTTCCCCTCGCTCCCCACTCCCCCCTCCCTCATGAGCCCTTGCTAATTTATAAATTGTTACTTTGTCATATCTTGCCCTGTCCGACGTCTCCCTTCACCCACTTTTCTGTTGTCCGTCCCCCAGGGAGGAGGTCACATATAGTTCACTGTAATCAGTTCCCTCTTTCCTACCCACTGTCCCTCTACCCTCCCAGTATCGCCACTCACACCACTGGTCCTGAAGGGATCATCCGCCCTGGATTCCCTGTATTTCCAGTTCCTATCTGTACAAGTGTACATCCTCTGGTCTGGCCAGACTTGCAAGGTAGAAAACGTGTCATGATAGTGGGAGCGGGGAGGAAACATTTAAGAACTAGAGGAAAGTTGTATTTTTCATCGTCGTTACATCGCACCCATTAGTAGGCCACTGGAGATCCCCTTGCAGAGAGGTATCAGGGAGGAGACAAGCCAGTCAGGGTGCGATGTAACAACGATGAATTCTTTTCTTTTGCTTGTCAGAGAATTAAGATTTGGGAGGTGTGGGAGAGTGGGTAGATTCTTAGTTCTCAGCAATGACTTTGACTACTGGAAAAACCCTTGTGAAACACAAGTAAATGATCACTGTGGTCTCTGTAGCCATTGTTTCAGCCAGCCAGAGAGCAGCACTACCTAAATGAACAGTGCCTTCTAGATACCGGCACGACCCTGCCCTCCAAGGACGGCCCTTCCATAGCCACGACCTCCACCAGACCATTTCCAGTAAGAACTACCTGAGAATCCAATTAGACATGACTCTTCCAAAGTCCTCCATATCACTTGAACTTCAATGGAATGAAACTAACTAGCAATACGATTGGCAGGTATTGGGTGCTCAAGGAATGTTCTGGAAATCTAAATTTGCTTCCCAATTTCCTGAGATCATGGCTGTGCTTCACATCTGTACTCAGTTTAGGTACTCAAGTCTTTCCTATGCAAGCTCCTAGTTTTCAGGAGATGTCACGTGACATATAGCCCTCGAAAATCCATGTAATCATAAATATATGACTATGATACAATTCTACTGGCTGTAACAAGGGCTTGTAAGAGTCTCATCAACTCGTCTCCTTCTCTGTCTCTTAGAGAAGTTCTTTCGGACATTTTTCACTTCAAAGAACACACAGAAAAGAGTGTCTGTTTAGTGTTAATGGGGTGTAAAGGATGAACAGTTGACCCAGGGGGTCGTCTGGCCTGCACCTCCCCTGACTGCCCTGAAGCAAGGGAAGAGAAGAGTCGCTCTTTAGGCACACCTACAAGGGGCTGGGGAAACCTGTTGGAGAGGTAGAGTATCTTCTCTCTTGGTGGAGGGAAGCAGCCATGGCTCATAGTGGAGAAAGTATAGGAATCCTGGAATTTTTTTTTAAATCATTTTATTGGGGGCTCATACAGCTCTCATCACAATTCATACATCCATCCATTGTGTCAAGCACATTTGTAAATATCATCATCGTTTTCAAAACATTTTCTTTCTTCTTGAGCCCTTGGGATCAGCTCATTTCCCCCCTCCCCCACCCTCCCTCCCTCATGATAATTTATAATTTTTTTCCCATGTCTTACACTGACCGATGTCTCCTTTCACCCACTTTTCTGTTGTCTGTCCCCCTGGGAGGAGTTTATATGTAGATCATAGTGATCGGTTCCTCCTTTTTCCCCCACCTACCCCTTCCCCTCCTGGTATCACTACTCTCAGTATTGACCCGGAGGGGTTGGTCTAGCTGGATTTGTAAGGTAGAATGGGGGTCATGATAGTGGTCAGTGTTATACTGCACCCTGATTGGCTCATCTCGTCCTTGTGACCCTTCTGTAAGGGGATGTTCAATAGTCTAAAAATGGACTTTGGGTCCCCATTCCACACTCCCCCTCATTCACAATGATATGATTTTTTGTTCTGGGTCTTTGATGCCTGATACCACTCCCATTGACACCTCATGATCACACAGGCTGTTGTGCTTCTTCTATGTGGGCTCAGTTGCTTCTCAGCTAGATGGTCGCTTGTTTATCTTCAAAATATATAGCGTCTAGGGTCTTAAAGGCTTGAAGATAAACAAGTGGAATTCATTTTTTAATCAAACCAGATAATGGCACAGGGTACTCTGAGATTCATGAGTGATAAGGAGATGTGCATTTTGTCAATGTTCAGATAGCAGTAGTGTATAATGTTTCCCACACAAATGGCAAAATCGGTATCATTGACACCACTCCATCAATCGTTGTTTATTTGTTTTACTTTCAAATGGTGGTGGTGGCATCCTCAGGTGCTGGGCAATCTGTGCTGACTCACAGCGCCCCCTGTACAACAGACGGAGACACTGTTCCGTGCAGGGCCGTCCTCACAGCACTTGTTAAGTTGAAGCCATTATTGCCGTCCCTCTATCAAGCCATGTCGTTTGTGATGTAAATGGTAGGTTTGTTTAAGTAACAGAGTCAAGTACCCTAAAATGTGACATTTAGCTCCATTGGTATATTTTAAGACACCTAATTTTTTTTTTTTTTTGGCACAAGAAGTATTACATTAGACATTTTCTCTCCTTTCTGGGTATTTACATAATTGGGATTATCTTGCCTTTTTTAAGTTTTGTTTTCATGAAGAAAACAAAAATGTCTGCATGAGTTATTAGAGACAACCAAGTCTCATGGTGAAGAGGCAGTCAGCTCAATTTGCTCACTAGCTTTGTTTCTTACCCTCACAGACCAGTTTTGTCACCGATGAAGTTCAAATTCATCTCCCTAGCTTTGGTTAGAAAAAGACACAGAACGTTTTCATATAACTGAAGAGTGTTGTCTTTCTCGAGGCAAAGACCAAGGGTGACCTGACCATGAGGTCAAGCATGACTCACAGAGGAAAATGCATTTAGATGTTTAGAATAAGCATTTGACATCAGATTGCCTGCCTCAAATTCCACCTCCTTCTTCCACCTGCCTTACTTAAGGCAGGTCATTTTCCTGCTGTGCTTTCGGCTCCTAATTTGAGAACTAGTGATCATGATGAGCATTAATTATCACTTGTAAAGCTTATGAGCAACTTTTGGCACTCAAATTCAATAAGAATTCATTGTTGTGATGGTTGTTTTTGTTGCTACTTTACAGTAATATGACTTCATTTTTCTGCAGTGCAATGCTTCCTGCAGGAACACAGGTGGTGCATAATTAATCACATACGTTTTCTCTTGACAGGGTGCTCTACACCACTTGGAATGGAAAGTGGAAAGATAGAAAGCAAGCAAATCACATCTTCTTCGTTTAAGAAATCTTGGTGGGGCGATTACTGGGAACCTTCCAACGCCAGACTCAATGCCCAGGGCCGAGTGAACGCCTGGCAAGCGCAGGTGAAGCATCCCCTATGGAGAGCGTTCTCTCAAACCTGCAGTGGAAAACAAAGGTCCTTAGGACAGGGGATGGCGGTGGGGACTAGGAAGCAGGAATATTGTCTCTCGATTCTGCAGATTGAGATTCTAGGTTCCAAACTCCAGGATGTCTCCGATGTAAAAGCTTTCACTCTAACCTTTGTTTTAGAAATACATCACCGGTCACCTCTGCGGTTCTTGCTCTGGCCTTAGTGTAGACCAAGAATTGGCAAGAACCAGATGGGAAGTTTGTCTGTGTGTTTGGGGTGAGGCACGGGCATGATGCAGAGGGGACGGGGGCGGGAAGAGCTTGGTGTCATACATTCTGTCACTACTCAACTCTGCCACGATGATAGGAAAGCAGTGATAAGTGATATGTAAGTGAACAAGCATGGCTCTGTTCCAATAAAACGTTATGAAAACATGCAGTTGCCTAGATTTGACCCTTGGGTGATAGTTGCCTACTCCGGATTTCACCATTTACACTAGTGCTAAACAAATTATTTAGAATGATTCTTCTCTTCTTTTTTCCATCTCAATTTAGCAAGCTTTAAATTTTTTAAGAGTACCCTTTAAAATCTTTTGTTCTCACTTTTTGAGTGATTTATGACATCCCTCAAGACAATTTGAAGCCTGCTAAAGTGCTGTAAAACAAGAATTGTAAGTCAGTCTTCTAAAATTAATAAACACCTTCCAAAGAGTTCTGTGGTCCCTAATATTAGCCCAGCAAGTAATTCAGGTGACTGAATTTTAAAGCAATTATTCATCTTGCTCTTAGGTGCCATCGGGTATGTTCTAAGTCACAGAACCTATGTGCAACGTGTGATCCCATGTGCAACTCAGTGGAACACGCCTGGCCCTGTGCCACCCCGCAATCAGGACTATGTTTGAGCCCATGGCAGCTATTGTGTCGATCTAGCTCCGTAAGAGCATTGTGACATTTTCTAGAGCCTGGTCCCTCTGATAATATGCGCAAAGTACATGAGATGCAGCCTTGCATATAAAGTACATGCTAGCGGTTCCTCTTTCAAGAGAGACTTGTGTCATCTTCTGGCAGGTGATGGCATGCTCAATATTCATGATCAACACAATTCAAAGGCATTAATTCTTCTCTGATCTTCATGATTCATTGTCCAGTTTTCACATGTATGTGGGGTGATTGGAAGTGCCATGGCTTAGGTCAGGCATACCTGAGTGTCTTTCCTTTTTACCCTTTAGTTTTAACTTTTATTTATTTACTTATTTATTACCCTTTAAAGGGGTCTTTTGCAGCAGCTCTTCCCATTGCATCAGGTAGTTCAGTTTCTCCACTGCTTCTTCCATGAGTGTTGATTGCGGAGCCAAGTCAACGTTATTGACTCATTTTGATTTTCTCTCAAATCAGAATGGCAGAAGGAGATGCCTACCCTCCAATTCCCTGGCCCCTCTATAGAATCAAGACCCTATCCTGAACTTAGGCCAGCAAAGGGAAAAGAGACTCCTCGTCCTAGTGGAGTTAATGGGAGAGCTTGGACCTCATTGCCTGATAGTCTTGGGAACTGATGTGTGTGCTTTAAAATTTATTTCTGGCCCATCATAGAATCCCAGAATATTAGCGTGACCAGAAGTGCTGCAAAGCAAATCATCCAGATTTTTATTTTCATGTCTAAACAAAAGTAAGTTTTGTTTTATTTAGTGGCAGAATCAACACTAGAACCCTATTCTGCTAAACAGTCTAGTGTTCCTCCCACGGTGTCAGGCTTAACTATCGACACTTCATTCATTTTGTACTTTTTCAGAGGGGGGAACCGAAACCCAGAGGTTTAAAATAATAAAACCAACAGTGTTATATGATACACCTGTATCTTATCTAGCATTATAAATTAAATAACATAAAGCTAAGGAGAAACTATGATCTAATTCTTTTCCCAAATGACCCTTCAGATCTGCTCCTGGCATAACCTTGTCACATCCACCCTTTACAGCATCTTATGTTTCTGTTTGTTTGTTTTTGCTGTGTACATAATTTGTTCTTAGTCTTTGTGAGAAAGCTCCAAAAGAGGAAGTGCTAATTTTTATTTTTATCACGGTCATTTGAAAATTTGAACATTTGGAGTTCTAGATTTGATTCTAACCAATAGCAGGCCCATATGTCAGAGAAGATCTTCCCTGGTTAACCTTTATTAGCAAGAAACTTTAAGCTAGACATCTAGGCAAACATCCATCTCTCCATGGCTAATGTGTCCCAGCCTCTGTTATGCCTACAAAATCCTCTAGGTACCTTCATTTGGCATCACTGGTCTGACCTTGACATGTAGAGACACTAAGATATGATCCAGACATCGCTAAAAAGAGTGCTACAGAATTAACAAAAAGTCTCTATTACATCATTTAAATTAATTTCCTTTTAAAAATACATATAGCCTGTGAATTCATACATATACATACACACATAACAGAGACAAACACATATATATAGGTGATGTTGAGGAAACATATCTCATGTAGAATCGAAGATGGCAATGGGGCATGAGAAATCTCTCCAAAGGGAAAATTAATCTGTTAGCTCCCAAACTCAATTAGTCCTACTCATCATTTTCTCCAAGAAACATGTGATTAGATCAATTCTAAGACATCTTGCTGTACCAGAAACACAATTACTGTGCAATGGACCAAGCCTTGGGTATGGCTTTATCGGGTCTCTCAAATATTATATTTCTCATCAAAATATCAACAAAGAAGAAAATGAGCTACTTTTATTATTTGACATTAGCAGTGACAAGAAAAGATTAGCTGGGAGTTTCTCACAATGACCTTCCCATAGTCAATGATCGCCTCTTCCTAAGAGGTAGAACAACCAGCAGCAATGGACATGTGCGGGGACCCTGTTGATGGAATTGGTGATGGCATCATGGTGGCATGGTGTTACATTCACAAGAATGCACTTAGTAGATAAAGTCTGTTAGTGTATTTGTTAGCCAGGCTACACCATCACTCAAGCTTACTGTTGTGGTGGGCTGTCGAGCCAATTCTAACCAATAGCAATCTCATATGTCAGAGTAGAACTGCCTGATACAGTTTCCTGAGCTGTAATCTTTACACCAGCAGATTTCCCCCATGGACTTGCTGATGGGTTTGAACCACCAACCTTTAGGTTAGCAATGGTGCTCTTAACTGCCACCATGGTGCCTACTAGACAACTAAGAGGTTAAAATGTGCAGATAATATTTGTGGACATTTAGTACTTGAAATTGAAAGGGGCTTGAGGAAAATAGCATATCTATAATTTCCTTCCAAATAATTTCAGAGGGAGAAGAGAGTGAGAGTAAAGATGAATTTGGTTGGTAGTTTTTTTTTAAGTCAGTTTATTGGGGGCTTGTACAACTCTTATCACAATCCATACATACATCCATTGTGTCAAGCACATTTGTACATTTGTTGCCTGGTTGATAATTCTTGAAGCTTAGTGTTCTAGTACTGACTTAACAGAAATATTAAAAGTTAGTACTTTGACAAACAGAATTTTATTTTCTCACAGTTTAGGAGGCCAGAAGTCTGAATCTAAAGAGCTAATTAAGGCTTTCTTTCTCTGTTGTTTCTGGAAGTTTCTTATCTCTGCTTATTTCTTATTTCTCAACTTCTGCTTCCTTGTTCCCTGGAGGTTTCTGTGAGTCATAAACCTCTTTGGCTTAATCTCTCCTTCTTTTTGCCTTTTTAATCTCTCATATATCTCAAATTCCCAGAACACTGATTCCGCCCAATTAGCATAACAAAGACAACTAATTTTCAAATGGGATTATACCCACAGGTCAGGATTACAACCTTTATTGTGGGCAGGGGTGATCAATCCACACAGTTCATTATGCATTCTCTGTATTTTGCATGTTTGATGTTTTCTGAAAATAAAAAGTTAGAGAGAGTGATGTTAGCCAATTCTTACTCAACTTGCCAGAAATAGCCTCATAGTATTTAAGTGAATTTGCTTAAAAAAATGATATTTATAGAAAATTTAGCAATTTAATATATCTTCCTAAGTAAAATTCACTCATTTGTCCACTCATTCATTCATCCATCCATTCAACAAATGCTTGTTGAAAAGCAATACTGTGCCCTGCCTTGTGATGTACACGTAAACCATAACCACACTCCCTGCCCTCCAGTCGATTAGTAATGGCCCCTGTGATTTCGGAGCCTTTAACTCTTTATAGGCGTTAACTAGAAGCCCCACCTTCCCTCTTCCCCTGGCCCCCAAGAGTGGTTGGTGATTTTTAACCACTGACATTGCAGATTGCAACCCAATGTGTAACCACTAGGGCTCCTGTGATGTATGCTAGGGCATGCAGATCCATAAATCCCTTTACTTAAAGAACAGGGGGGACAAACTAGTAAAAAAAATAATTATTATTTCACAAAGTGTCGTAAACATGCCACATTCCAAACAAGTAAACATGTAACAAGCCAGAATGGATCAAGGAAGGCTTCAAGGAGACAGGAAAGCTGAAGGGGTGAAACAGTACAGACAACCTTTTCAGCTTTGTGCAATTCTGAGTCTGCTGGTGCGAAAAACAGTCCCAGGTTTAACACCTGCCCTCCCTGTGTTTTCATTCTTTTCCCAGGCCAACAACAACAAACAGTGGCTCCAGATTGATCTGCTCAAAGTCAAGAAGATTACTGCGATTGTGACCCAGGGCTCCACATCGCTGTCCTCCGAAATGTATGTGGAGAGCTATGCCATCCACTACAGCGACCAGGGCGTGGAATGGAAACCTTACAGGCAGAATTTCTTCATGGTGGACCAGGTATGGGCGAGGCAGCGTCTCGGCAAAGGGAAAGCCATCTCAGAACTATGTGGTGCTGACAGCTGGAACACCTGGTGTCTGACAAGGGGCCCGACCAGCACTACCTTTTCATCTTCTGAAGCCTAGCTCTGCGGGTTGGGCACCTGGTCTCGAGACAGGGAGCTTACCACATGTACCGCCTTTCTGCTTTGACAGAAACAGAGTGTCCAAGGACTTCATTTTGGTTGGATCCCCTGCTGGCAATTTCCATTTGCACCCAGATATACTGAATCAGAATCTGCATTCTAACCAGAGCCACAGATGTTTCTTAGACCTAAGAATATGTACATAAGAACCCAAACCAAACATTGTCCATCAATTCCATGCTGACTCATGCTGCCCCGGAGGACCGGGTAGAACGGTCCCAAGGAGTTTCCCAGACGGTGACTCTGGACCAGAGTAGAAAGTGGTAGGTTTTTCTGCCGAGGAGCAACTGGGGGTTTGAACTGCAGCCCCAAAGTCACCACTACGTCATATAAAACAATGACCTGGAGAGCTTGTCAAAATCCCAGTCAGTATATCTGGGATGGAAGAAAATACAAATTCTCAGGCTACTCAGTACCATGAGTGCGGTCTGACTCCTAACGGCCCTCTAGCCGGTGCACGACTCAGAGGGACCCTTCCCTCGCGCACTGCACGTCACTCAGGACGGTCCTCGGGAGGCCTGTGCGCCACTGGAGTTCATGACTGATTTGGGGACCACCTCTGGCAGCATTGTATGTGTTTTTGATGCCTTCAATTGGAACTAGAAGGATTTTATATGTACATATAGATTTATATTTTTTGCACCCATTATGGTATCATTAAAATTGTTCTCATATTTTACTTTCAGATTTTCAAAGGCAATAGCAATCCCAAAGGACATGTGAAGAACTTTTTCAATCCACCCATCATTTCCAGGTTTATCCGCATTATTCCTAAAACATGGAATCAGAGTATTGCACTTCGCCTGGAACTCTTCGGCTGTGATTTTTACTAGCATTTGCTACTCAAAAAGACAAGCAGTACGCTTTAAGGCCACAGACCATATAGAGGTGGCAACATGTTTTAGAGCTATTTTAAATCTTAACCATTTACTAACATTTCTCTGTTTTTCTATTGAGGAATAAACTCTTACAAAGCAACTTACCTAATGTAACACCTTGCTACCAATACATGAGATGATGTCTGTTCATTTTATGTTAATGTAAATACATAACAAGTGGAAAAGAGCCAGAAAGCCTCTTTCACAATTAAAAATACTTAAAGTCATATTCATGTGGTTGGCATGTTTCATTATTCCTCTTCTAAATCATATGTACATTAATAAAAACGATCATACCCCTGTAAACCAGTGATAGTAAGCACTCATATACTCTCTGAAAGGTTGGGGCTTTTACACTCCACTTCACCCCCCAGCCAGGGCATCAGAAGAAAGGTCTAGTGATCCTCTTAAAGGGCCACTGTGAAAGAAAACCCAAGGAGCACCGTTCTCCGCTGAAGCCCTGGGCAACTGGTTACTGGTTAGACACAGGTAGCTTCCATGCCTCCATTTCCCATTCTTTAATGGTGATTTGAAATCAAAGGAAGCAATCAAGGTTTTAAAATTACTTGTTTTCCTTGATAGAGAGACTAACAGCCTTACCATAGGAAGTTAGGGGTACTTAAAATCACCTGTCTGGCCTACATGGCAATGATCTCCTGACCCTCCCTGAGGACAGATGCATGTTCAGCCTGTTTTCAATAGCACAGCTGGACTTGTGAGTCTGGCCTGCTCTCCCTTGGGCTCGATTGCATATACAGATGTTCAAGTGTCAGGGCCACCAGACCTGGAGAATGGAACGTGAAACCTTGGTCTCATTCTCGCTGGCAGTACATGACAGGGACATTGTTCCAAACATAGGTCCACCTCAGGGAAAGCCAATACCTGTAGAACACGCTGCTGCCCCAAATGCAGCTCTTCCTGTTACAACTGGCCCCTGACCAAACAGTCAAGCTGTTGAAATTTGCTTCCAGGGCTTCCCTCTGAGGCTCCAAACTTCTCCTCTCCCTTCCTCCTGCAACTTCCCTTTTCAATGAATATGCCATTGTAGTCTCAGAAACCCATGGCGGGGGTGGGGTAGTGGTGGTAGTGCAGTTCTATCTGGTCCTATTGGGTTCCTATGAGTTGAATCGACTCAATTGCAGTGAATATGGGGGGCTTTCCCTGGGAAGATGGCAGCCAACGATGCTATAGATTTGTGCGATTGGCCTTCTAAATTCATGGAATAGTCGGTGTCTTTTTATATAACAAATCATCTGGGTGGACTAGACCATCTGGGCACTTCTGATCTATGTGACGTTCGTGGGGCTGTAGGTATTACAGGTTAGAATGTCTGGCGAGGATGCTGCAAGTTGAAGCTCAGCAGGCGTTTGAAGTAGAATGATCCGGTTCCATATCTGGTTTGACCTAGGTTTCAAGGAGGAACTGAATGTGCACTTGACCATCTGTACACAATCAGATAAAAACAGATTGGGAGAAGAATTGATTAATACAAGTGCTTTTAGAGCTTTTTGTTCAAGTCCAAGGTTAATTAATGTGGCAATTACATAATCTGTCTACTTGCAAAGGGGTGGAGAGTAGCTTGTCAATCAAGTCATAGACAATGAGGCCTCTGGGTGGGCATGGCCTCCAGAGGATTCTGGGAACTCCTGTCTTCCTCCCTAGAGGCAGGACAGACTCCCTGCAAGACATTTTGGTAAACAAGCCTCATGGAGCCATGCTAATGGAACCAGAGCCACATGGAGACCCACATCAGTGCTGATATGCTTCCACCACCACTAGATACACAAGACTTTCCACAAACTGGCCTGTGATCTTCCTGCATTCAGAGTCATTGCATGTGCTGTGTGAGTCTGAAGAGGAATTTATAGACTGGCATCAGACATATGGGCTAATATCAGACATGGACTTGATCCAGACTGGGATGGGATGTTTTCTCAATACACAATTGCTCTTTGATAGAAAACTCTTTTCTCACACACATGAGTGTCTATGAATTTGTTTCTCTAGTCAACCCGGACTAGCACAACTAATAAGCTTTCCCCAATTTCCCCATCCGTTCTCCATATTTCCCCCTAATGCAGTCTGGTAATGACCCCTGGATCCAGTCTGGTAATGACTTACCCATCAGCTTCTCTCTACTCCCTGCACATGCCCATCACCCCAGAGTGCTTGCAAGGTCAAGCACTAGAAATGAAAACAACAGCTACTTGGGTGCACCCAATGATCTGAGGGTGGAGTATGAGACCCATATCGATACAAGACATACTTCTAACCTGTCAACTATGAATGATAGCTGTGGTGGGTGACCAGAATAAAAGTAGGTGATTTGGGGAAATCTACTCTAATATTGGGAAACCACTCTAATACAGTGGTTCTAATATCATCAGAAAACACATATCTATCTGTCTCCAGGCAGGTCCACCCACATGCAGATACACCCGTATACGAGTACCCAGTGTGAAGACTGTTACCCATGCAACACCATGCTTCAAGACAAAATTTCATTTATTTGTAATTAGAAATAAATATTTTACAATATATAATTACATATTGCTTTTGTGATTAATTGCTATGCCTTAATGATGTTCAATTTGTAACAATGAAAATACATCCTGCATATCACATATTTACATTATGATTTATAACAGTAGCAAAATTACAGTTATGAAACAGCAACGAAAATAATTGTATGGTTGGGGGTCACCACCACATGAGGAAATGTATGAAAGGATCACGGCATTAGGAAGGTTGAGAACCACTGCTCTAATAGGATTCTGACTTGCTTGGAGTTAGATGAGGGGGCATGCTGATTAAACTAAGTTGTACTGCGGTGAGGACAAGATGAAAGAAGGTGAGTGCTATGTGGGAAATTCAAAAATGAAGAGAGACAATCACATGATAAGAGCTTACAGTGCTTATGTGTTTATCTGATTTGATCATAGGTCCACATTTGAATCTAATGAACCTGTTCTTTAAAGTTCTACTTTGAGAGGTGACTTTCTTCGTGTCTTACAAATGATGAACAGGTCATTGCACACCCACCCCCTCTGGACTTTTTATTGCCATGAAATTTGGTGATGTTTATCAGTTCAATTTTTTCATCTCAACCGCCCAGAAGTGGGACGGAGCCCTGTTTCATTCTGTTTTACCAAATCCAACCAAACTCACTGCCCTGAGTCAATCCTGACCCACGGGGACCTCGGTGGCCTTCTGAGACTCTCACTGTTTCCTGGGGAAGAAAGCCGTCTTTCTCCCGGAGCTGCGGGTGGCAGTGGAACAGTGCACTCGCTGGGGCCCAACAACAGCAGGCTAGAAGCTCCTTTTTGGACACTAAAGAGGCTCTTGGAAAAGTCTGGAACGCACCTGTCGTGGTCACAGATGCAACAGATAAAGACGCAACACTTACTATTTTCTGAGTAGTCTGGGGAAATAGCAACCGAGCTGACAGTCCTTCACCAAGTGCTTCAAAGAGCAGGTCTGATTGCCGTTGAGGCGGCCCGTGGGTGCGGAGAGGGACTGCTCCGGGGTCTCCAGGGGGTGGGGGGTACCTTTCAGAAGCACCGCAGCCTGCCTTCCGTCGTGCTCATGGGGGATTTCAAACCGCCAACCTTTCAACTAGTGGTTGAGCACTTCACTGCTGGCCCCGTCCAGGGATTTAAAATCCAAACTCACTGCCATGAAGTCCCTTCTGACTCACCGCATCCCTAGAGCACAAGGTGGAACTGCCCCTGTGGGTGTCGAGACTAAATCTTCTTGGGAACCGCTGGTTCCCCTGTGGTGAGCAGCCCAGCGCTGCGCAGCAGGCTGCTCCCCGGGCACCCCTCAAGCCTTCAATACATGCCATGTTAGCATTACTAATAACAACTCTAAAAATACGCCGTAATATTACTATAACGGTATTGATCGTTATTAGTAACACTGTTATTATCTGCGGCTGTGTCTCCAGTGCTTTTTTGTGCCCTTTTGAACTGCTTCTCTTTTCTGCCTGTAATTCCACAGTGTTCCCAGACGGTGGCGAGTCTGGCCCGAGTGCTGAGCACTTTCACACGGAGGTCAAGCTTATCCAGGCTGGACAAAGAATGCAGGCGCTTGCATTGCCCTTTCCCCAGTGGATTTGCCTGGCCTAATTACGTTTTGCTCAGGGTAGGGACTAGTCCTATGAGCCTTTGCTCTGAGTCCTAGAGTAGGATTCAGAAGTTACCCACGGTGTGGATAAGTTAACAGAATTCAGGAAAATGTACTGGTAAGTTGGCTGTCAATGAAGGAGCCTTGGACCAGGAAGGGATAAGTCTGTTTTGTCTTCCACTAAACGAGGAAGTTCACTTAGCCTGCTCTATGGAGCCATGTGTGTGGGCAGAGTGTGTATTTCTACAGTGTACCGAAGACGTCTATAAAACTTATTGGCAAAAAAGCAAAAATAAAAATTTTGGCAGGTGAGGTTAGTGTGGTTAGATATTTGCCAGGTCTTAGGTGGAACGTACTCTGCCCTCCTAGCAGCTACCAACCTCTAGTAAAGGGTCTCGTGTTTCTTCACATGGAAAAATAACTGTGCTATTAGCAGAAAAGAAAATTCAAATGACTAAACATAACATAATTTTACGTATGATTGAAAAAATTATTTATTTACATGTCCTATCTTGGTTTCCCAAAAGATTTAAGGCAGCTCAGAAGAAGAGAAACATAACATACTGCTGGGAATAATATGCTACAAGTGAAAACACAAGGTGTCAGGAAAGAGGATGACATGGCAAATGCATCCCATCATGCAAGCTCTTGCTTTGCTAGGGGTGACCTTTGGATTTGGGCTAAGTTTTTTATTAACCAAAAGAAAAACCATATTCTTTATGTAATAAACTGTCTCCCTAGAATGCTCAAAAGAAGCACAATTTCCCTTGATACTAGAACTAAAAATATATTTCTTCCCAAGGTTCATTCACAAAAGGAGGCCACTGTGCGGTATGCAGAACACCATTATATAAAGCTTGATAGATTTTATAGAGCTGCTTCCAGTGCATTCTTTGGGAGAAGCTGATGGCTTCCTACAAAAGCATCGTTCTGGGCAACTAGTCTTCAAAGACTATTGCTAGATACGTGTGTGTGGTTTACTGCTGGTCTCGTTCAAAACAAACGTAGGTTTTACCAGTAGGATAAAGGTTGCTATCCTGTCCACTCTGACTCATGGTGTCCTCACACATTTTATAGTAGAATTGTGCCTTGGACATTTTTC